GCGTGGCCGCGCTCAACGGCGTCTCAGGCCCGGCAGCTGCCGCGGGAGCCACCTACGCGCAGGTCACCGTGTCCACCGGACCCGGGGGTAAGGCCGCGCGCCCCAGCGGAGACCGCCCCCCCACGCCCCACGCCGCAGTTGCCCGCATGCATCCCAAGGCATTTGGGAACCCACGTGACCGCAACACCCTCCGCCCCAAGCGGCACCCGTGTGTCCCCCTTCTCCCTGCCATCCCTTTGCTGACTCCACCTGCGTCCCCAGTCCTTGAAGGAGCAGGCCAGGTCAGAACGCAGGCGACAGAGTGGTCGCCTTACCCGTTTCTGAGTCTCGAGTGGGATGAAAACCACCTTTGATACCACACCCTCCACATCCTTGACATTTACTTCTGATTTGTCTCTCCTCTGGTGCACACTTTCAAGTAATCCCTCGAGTGCCCTTTGCAAGATGGATAAGCTCGCGCTGTGGCTTCTGAGTCTTCCCTGTCTGATTGGTGTGTGACCCTCCTCCCCTGTCTTCTGTGACCCTACCCTGTCACTTGGGTTTCCAGCAAGGCTTGGGATGATTTTCGTTCTTTTGTAAGTACCTTGGGGGTACAGATGTGCACACACAGGGGTGTTTGAATAATTTCATCCTGCTGATGAAAATGAAAATGTAACCAATATGGATTTATTTTCACTCAGTCTGACTGGAGCACAGTAGGCCCTTTGATCAGCTCTTTCTTCTTTCATTGCTGGGAAAATTCTCTTCAGCAGCTGCTTTGCGTACAGCTAGCTCGCACTGTATCTCCTAAAACGATCTCTAAGCCTTAGGTTGTACATCCATTTTCTGATTCTCCCATCTTGTCACTTCCTTTATCATTTTTAGCTCTTAATCCCTTTCCTAGGACTTTCGAGAGAGATTTTCCAATCTACCTGGTTTTCTGGGACACTTCTTTTCTTTATTATCTCTATTGAGATTTAACCCTTGCTATTGCGTTCACATTTTTAACAATTCCAGGCCTAAAAAGTAGTTTGATGATGCAGCATTTGCTTGAGCTGCTGGATTTGATCACCAGTACCAAAGAAGAAAGGAAGGAAGGAAGGAAGGAAGGAAGGAAGGAAGGAAGGAAGGAAGGAAGGAAAGGTATGCCTGTAATCTCAGCACCTAGGAAGTGGAGGCAGGAGGATCAGGAGTTCAAGGTCATTCTCGGCTACATAGTGAATCTGAGCTCAGCCTGGGTTACAAGAGACTTTATCTCAAAGAATAAAAGTATGGTCAGGCATGGTGGCACATGCCATTAATCCTAGCATGTGGGAGGTAGAAAGGCAAATCTCTGTGAGTTTGAGACCAGCCTGGTCTACACAGCAAGTTCCAGGACAGCCAGGGTTACATAGAGAGACTTTGTCTCAAAAAGCCAAAAAAAAGTATGTATTGTCATAATTTTTTCTATTCATGAATATGTCTATTACCCTCCCCCGCTTTTGTTGTTTTTCAAGACAGGATTTCTCCATGTAGTTTTGGTGCCTGTCTTGGATCTTGCTCCATAGACCAGGCTGGCCTCAAACTCAGAGAGATCCGCCTGGCTCTACCTCCCAAGTGCGGAGATTAAAAGCATGTACCACTGTCACCCTGCTCTATAAAACCCCTTTAATATATATTATATATGCAGGGTCTTTATTTTTTTATAATTTTATATTTATGGGTGTTTTGCCTGCATGCGTGTCTGTATGTTCAGGCCTGGTAGCAGCAGAGACCAGAAGGCGGCACTGGATCCCCTGGAACTGGAGTTACAAACAGTTGTAAGCTGTCATATGGGTGCTGGGAATGGAATCCAGGTCCTCTGGAAGAGCAGCCAGTACTCTTAACCACTGAACCATCTCTCCAGCCCCAGGCAGAGTCTTATGCAGCCAAGACTGGCCTCACATTCACTATATATAGTTAAGGATGATCTTGAGTTGTTTCTGTCTCTACCTCTCAAGTATTAGAATTTTAGGGGTGGCCCAGTTTATGTGGTGCTAGGAACAAACTAGCGTTTCCTGCATGCTGGGCAAATATCCTCCCAATTGAGACCCATCCAGCTCTCACACCCCCTTTTGTGTCTCACTATGTAGTCCTGGCTGGCCTGGAATTTGCTATGTAGATCAGGCTAGCCTCAAACTCACAGAAATCCACCTGCCTCTGCCTCTTGAGTGCTGGGACTACAGTTTTGTACCATTATTCCTGGTCCTTTAAAAAAATACTTATTTAATTTTAAGTGTGTGTGCCTGAATGAATTTATGTACATCATGTGCATATGCATGCAGAGACCTGCAAAGGCTACAGTGTGTCTGATCCGCCGGAACTGCATCATATGTGAGACACCTGATGTGGGTGCAGTAAGTACTCTTAACCACTGAGCAATTTCCCCAGCCACCACATCCCTTAAAAAAATGAAACAAGGTCATTCATACTCTTTAGC